GCCAGAAAAGCACCATCAGCGTGCCGGCAGTGTAATGTTTGGCATTTCGTTCGCTCCTGTCCATTCAAGAAGAATGTTTGTCAGAAATGCCTCAAACGAGGGCATAATGAAGACCACTGTCCAGCAGGCCAATCACCCAATTCAAGGGCAGGCGACAGGAAGGCAATTAGTTTCAAACGCCCTTCATCTTACTGTGGCCTAAAGTCCAACTCAATCCTAGCCATATTCCAGACAGAATTTGAGTCAAGGAGAAAGTTCCTTATGGTTGCTATCAATGAAAAACCTGTATGCCTCCAATTTGACACAGCCTCGGACTTTAGCATCATCTCCAAACGCACATGGCAGGGGACTGGACGGCCTCCGACGATCACATCGGACAAAAAGGCCATGGATGTTTCCGCAGATTCCTCCGGCTCCCGGGTGAGCTTGAATGTGATGTTTCCTTCGGGGCACTCATTTCAAGGGAACATGCTATCTTACCAACCGCCCGAAGCCTGACTTGATTGGCCTTGACTGGATCGAGAAGCTCGGTCTCCTAGATTTGCCACTTAACCGTTTTTGCAATGGTGCGCAGTCAACTTGGCCCAATCCCGCCAAATCAAATCAGCTGACAGCGAATCTGATGTTATCAATATTCTAAGTGTCATTCCATGCTTTTGTGCTGAAAAGGTAATTCGGTGACTAAATGCTCCACCATCAAGGGCTCGGATTTTAGCTACACCAATCAATTAGATCCATCGCCTCACGCTGATAGAACTACCGCCACAGCTGACCAAATTTTCGGCTTAAGTGCCTTTAACTTACAGGTTCCTGAAATTTAATTAAAAATTTATCGTACGCATAGACGCATAGACCGTACTAAAACACAATGATGAAAACGGGCCTGCAGATTTAAAGAACCTCATTCAGGAGAGCGGTGCTGATTGGCAGGAGGTTATCAGTGCTGGAAACAAATATTTAAAATAGTATCGTCCCAGGACCATCTTTGAATACGGGAAGCAACTTGGGCCTGCTTGAATCAGTTCGGTATATCTAAATGAGGAAGAATAGGTAAATGCCTTTGAAGACCCTATTTACAGCGTGCAATTTGGTGTAGTATGCAGAGTATCCATACGGACTGGGATAGTTCAAAGGTAACCGTAAGAGTAGGCATAATGGGGCGCTTCCATCGCTTTGGCTTATTTTTGAAAGTAAATATGTCGACATTCAATTTAAAGCACGAATGATTCTGCATCTCTTCATTTTATACGTAAATTGAATATCCACAGTACCAAAAAATCCAGAAAAATTAATTTTCACTAGTGATCTTAAGTGTGTTTACTCGGTTTCCAAGAATACGGCCAATATTTGCGTTGATAAAATCAATACAGACCCGCTTACGCTCTCGCAATGGAGCTCAAGTTGGAAAATTGAGTTTTATAAATCCAAGTGTAATTTCATGTTACTTGGCCTCACAAAGCTTCCTGAACCCTTTGTCTTTCACAACAGTCCACTTTTGGAACGATCCATCATGAGGGACTTGGGGCGAAGTTATACGACTAAGTTACGATCATCGCCCCATACATATCGAATTTCTGCAAATACTGCACTGATACTAGAAGGAAGAATAACCATACGGAAGTCGCACAAAACAGTGTTTTTCTAGCTGGACTACGAATCGAGAGAAAGAATGAAAATGCGGGAACTGAGTAGAGACATGAAGGAAAAGATGGAGGGGATATAGGACCAAAAATCATGGATTGGAAAGTAATCCAGATAAACGAGTCGAATTTATGGGGAAAACACTTCACTATGAAGGTCTGGCCTCCCCAACGCGAAAACAGAATGACCGCAAAGCTACTCCAGTGTCGGGTTATAAACGGATCATCTATGGGTTTCAAGGTGACGTACAGAACATCAAGTAGAAGGCGCCCGTTTCAAGAAACAGAGATCTGGTGAAGGTTAAAACATGTCGATGATATACACAAATGTACAGAGTCTATTCAACAAAATGGTTGAGCTTGAAATGGCCGTGTGTCATTTGTAACCTGACCTCATAGGTCTAACTAAAATGGTTAAATGGGCAGACGCAGAAGATGGCCTGGAAGGATTTCAGTTATTCAGCATGGACCAAAATGGACATAGGGGTGGGGAAATCGCAATTTTCCCGCGAAGTGGTATTGAATAAGTTCCGGACCGCTCTTCATCAAACGGGAACACCTCCTGTGAAATATTTAGACGAAAACTTGGAGGACCCAACAAAACGGACCTCCAGATTACTTCGGTATACAGATGCCCAGGGCATCGGATAAATAAATAAATAAATTGTATATTTAAGGCCCAAGGGGCCCTGTCGTTACAAACTTAGTGC